CAATTAGAAGAATATAATAAAAGTTATAAATACTTGATATTTTCTTTAATCAAAATATAAAGCATAACCTCATCATTTTCACTGGTAACAGAAGACAATGCTTAAAACATTAAAAGAAAAATGAGTAGATTAAAAAAGGTTAAACATGTAAAAAATTAAGATTCAGTATCCCACATGGGTCATGAATCATGCAAGTTTTTATAATATCATAATGTTCACGAACAACATTCGGATTTTAAATTTCTGTACATATTAAATTATTGATATCCTGTATTGTTTCAAGTTTATCATCAAAAACAAACCACGCTTTTGAAACTCAATAACCTGAACGTGCGTTATAACTTTGCCTAATACACCATGTAAATAATATCATTATGGTGGTTATTTAACTTGAGTTTAAATACTCTAGTAACCAAATCAGATCTATCATTCGCAGTCTAACACGGATATAAATTTTCTGTTATTTCACGCCATTTTGGGTTGCAAGTAAAAGTAATAAAAAGATCTGGTTTAACATACTTTTTTAATAAATGCCATAGCATCTTCAAAGTTTTCTTTTAAAGTTCTAGGACATTCTACATAAGATGACGGCAAAAACAAATAATGGGTATTTCTTATAAAAGCAAGATGCTGGCCTTCAATATTGACATATGCATCAACAGTATATTTCTGAAATAGTTACTAGCCATAAATTAATGAACAGAAAAATTGCCTAATAAAAAGTCTATAATTGTAGAACTGAGATAATTTAACATGATTTTTTTTATAATGAGTGTGGCACGCTCAGGGTTATGCATCAACTAATTATGCCAACAAGCATCACCTCTTGGTAAAAATAGAGTAAAAACCATAGAATCACTGCTGGCTGACGTACTTGATACAATTTTTAAAGGATAAACTCTTGGGTAAATAAAACCATCTTCACCAACAAATACAACAGCAACTTCATCATGTGAAGTTAGATTATAGAGACATATACCACCCCCTTCAAGTAAAGACACTTTTACAATCACTCTACACGTTTGCGAAGTCACACCACTTTGAAGTCATGGAAACAGCATCGTATAAACATATATACTAACTGTAAAACAATATATATTTTTGTAATCTTATATAACATATAAAAACACCTCATTTAACAATCGTATACACATTAGATAAAATACACTTTATACTAATATAAAACACATTTATATAAAGACGTTTATAAAACAGTTATATAACATAAATCACCACACGCATTTTTTTTTTTTTTTTTTTTTTTTTTTTTTCTTTTTTTCTCTGTTTACATAACATAAGAACTTTACAGATTCTACTACATAATATAAAATTTAACAAAATAAGTAAAACAGATAGGGACTCAAAGAAGATGAGGATGACAGAACGTCATCCCAATCTTTTCATAGAACCCCTTTAACAAGACTTAATTATAATATCGTAATATTACATACAAAAAAAAATGTCTATAAAATATCATAACAAAATGCGTAATCCGCTAATTGGCAAGCAACAAACAAAAGTAGAAACAAAACAAAAACTTATTTATGAGAATTTATCCAAAGCATTATTAACAAAAAATGTTTCACCGGTTTTAAAGATTTCTTTTTTTGTTAAAAACTTGAATGAACTTAACGAACTCACCGTACCTTTGAATTCTTTCTAAAAAATATTCCATACTTTTGGACCTCTATATTAAATGCTGTATTTTGAATATTTATTTATTATCCTTGGCAGTTTATATGTGTTCAACATATTCGCTCTAAGATTATAGTTATCATTTTTATTTAACTCAAACGTATTATTAAAGCTTATAGGAGATATTGTGATTGTAGCGATACATGAAAACTAAATGCTGGTAGATATTTATTTCAAATACATTCATCATTTTCATATTTTTCATCAAGGGATTAGCGTGTTCCCGCCTATTTTTAAAGTAAATGAAACTACTGGCATGTTTCTGAAAACTATAAAGTTTCTTAAGCTTTGCTGTTTGAGTACTTGCCCATGAAATGTTTGCATAGCTGATGAGGCTGTGAATTAGCCCAAAGTAGATTAATTTAAGACTATTTGTATTAATGTACGAGCGAACTCGATACATTAAACCTATGATTTTGGTAGTTTTTGACTGGATATATGTTATATGAGGAAGCCAGGATAGTTTTTCATCAACAACGATTCCCAAGAATCTTACATTGGATTGCTTTTTAATTAATTTATCATTTATAAATAGGTTCGGCAACTTGAGAGGAAGATTTTCTTATGTTTTTTTATGAAAAAGTATATAGTTTGTTTTCTCGGTATTAAGTGAGAGTTTGTTTGCCTTAAACCAGTTATTTACTTTATTTAGTTCAATATTCAAGTCCGCATATATTTTCTTGATATCGTTGCTGGTAAGAAATAAATTCATGTCATCTGCAAACATGACTGAATTAAGTTTTAAGGATGCATTACAGAAGTCATTTATATATATTAAAAAAAGAAATGGACCAAGAATCGATCCTTGCGGAACTCCACATACGACATTTAACACTCCAGATTGGGCAATATTTACATATTGCTTTCTGTTTGTAAGATAGCATTTAATCCAATAATAAGTTTTATTAACTATTCCGTAATGTCTTAATTTATCTAAGAGAATACAGTGGTCCACTGTATCATGTATACATGTATTTATCAAAATCTTTTTAACTTTGACCATAATATAAACATATATGCAAATTTTTAACAACTATAAAACAACATTTATTAGCATCAATTATTTTTAATGTAACAAAAAAAACAGACTACAACACATAAATATATTATTTATGTCAGCCAGTATATATTTATCTAAAGTAATGAAAAAGATGCAATACATATTCAGATACCTTAAAATAAAGCATAATACAATATTCTTTTGACAAAGTCCAAAAATGTTTTTTTTTTTTTCAATTTTTCTATCCCTTAATAATTTTCTTAAGAGAAAATATACATATAGATATAGAGAAATATAAAGCAGATTGAAAAAAACGCTAACTTATGTATATAAATTTATATTATTATTTGTTATTTTATTTAACTTTTCATATTAAATGCATAAATAAAATTTTATTTTCATTATTCTTTCTACAAAAAATAATCCTAATCTATAAATAAGAAAATGAATTGAACTTAAAAAAAATGATATCAGCTCCTCTTAACTGCTCTAAAATATAAAACAATACTTGCTTAGAATATCCTTAAAAGACTAACGACAAAACTGGAACAGTTTACTGAAAAAGAAACATTGTACTAAAAGAACTATTTACCTAGTCATTGTAGTTTTAACTTTTTTTAAAACATAAAAACAGGCTATAAACATTAAAAAAATAAAAACAAGCAATAAAAAACAAACAGCTATTTAAATTTTTTACTATTTAAACATTGAACAACATTACCTCTCCTTGAAACTTAAAATATATCAGCTCTAATTTGCTTAAAGACCTTGCTCAAAAGTCCGCGTGGAATATATAACCGCGTATAGAAAAGCCTAAAAACGAAAGTAAAATTAAACTAATAATATTCACTGCGCTATTTATATTTAGGTTAGCAGAATTTAGGCTCTTTCCGATGCTCTTTATTAGGACCGAAAGGACTTCTGGGAGTCCCTTAACAACTTCATATAAAAAGGAAATTAATTATACCTAATTAAAAAATCGTTTATGCATTTCATCAATTTTTTTTTCTTCTGTTTACTCCATGCTTTTGATTTTCATAAATACTTCCATATAGAGCCGCATCAAGCTGGCTTGGGACCCTGGGGGGAAAATAAATTGTGAAGATTCAAAATCAAAATGGTTTTTATACAATCACAATGTAAAAACAATTGTAAACACTTTGATATATTAACAAGTATTAAAGAATTAATCCTTAAATCATCGGGGTCTGGGAATAAAATATCCCGTTGTCAGATAGGCAGCTCTCTCATGCTGTTTTGCTCCATTAACTTTGAATGAAGTGATGTTAAAAATATAAAATAAGAACAAATCACTTTACAATTTTTATGACAATTTTTTTCAAAAAAATAAATTATTACCATTATTCGATTAATTTTACTTTTAGTCAATTTTTAAAATATGTTAGTCAATTAAGTCGACAGACGAGTTATTTAACAGTCGTAATTGCACATATTTTTGAGCCCAGTATGGTTAAAAGAAAAATAAAATCTGTAAGTAAACCTGTTATGATTGGTATTTTTTATAGATTTGTACGACTGTCCTAAATTTATTGAGTATCATTTATATTAAAGCTACTTTCGAAAAACTAATACTTTAATAACGGGTCAAAGGTAATGAATTTTCATTTTTGAGTCCAATTTCCTTTATTGTTTACAAGCTTTTAAATTAGATTATTATGAACATACAAAAGTTTGTTAATCTAACTAATTTATAAGTAATCTTTTGTAATTTTTTATATTCAGTGTAATGAAAACACTTTTTTACTAGTAAAAGGGTCAACCATATAGCATTTACAAAAAATCTACTATTTTAAGACCCATTCCCCATATATACCACCCTGACCCTAACCCTGACACCTGATGTTATAAATTGCTAATCCCCATATCACCCCTCTACGTATTTACGCATTAATTATTACAAAAACAACATGGTATTAGTGATTCAAACCCGTGTTAAAAATTAAAATTGAATTTAACCAAAGACAAAAGATGAGGGATAGTCAAACGGCTTACATACTCTCTATCATTAACATACACTTTCCACGAACACTGTGTGCGTATTTTATGAAAGATCCTAAAACAATTTCAATGCTTACTTTGTAAAAAATTTACAAGCATACAATAAAAATACAAGTATTTTATAAATACAAGTATTTTATAAACTAAGATATACCAGTAACATTATGAAGATAAACAAGTTATATTTTGTATTTTATTTTTTATAACAATATAGGAAAAAAAATTCTTTTAGCATATATAACCTTTTTTTAAGAAATTTTAATGTCTAGTTTTTACTTATTTTAAG